TCCAAGAACTCAAGAGTACTCTGCAACCGTGCAACCAATGCGGCCACTGCTTTGTCGTATGCCTGCTTCTGCCCCATCTTGGAGACCCGAGGAAGAAAGTAAAGCCCAACAGTGCCGAAAGTTTGCTCCTGCTGCCTCACGAATAAGCAACCTGCACGACCACACAACTGCTTAGGTACTGGTAGTATTTTTGTTGACAGAATGCTTGAAAAACCGACTCTTCTTCAGCAGGACGGTGATGCTACAAGACGGTGTGACTAGTGGCCCTCGTTTGTACCCGAAGTGATAACAGCGATAAGGATCCACTATCCTCTCTGGCTCGACAAGCTCGCCTGTGCTGCGCAACTGGGTCCCGCCTAGCTCGATGGCGTCGTGGGACGGGTATTCGGCAACGATATCTGCTAACCTGGCGACGCGGGAGGCCGCGCAGGGATTGAAGCCGACGAAGCGAAACAGACCGGAGGAGGTGCTCATGAGCGAGCCGCCCTCGGGCACACCGCCGCCATGGCTGCCAGGCGAGAGGGCCCTGGCGAGTGTGAGATCTGAGTGGCGTGCGAGGTGGATCTCATTCTCTCATCACTCGGGCCACCTGGAGGAGGAGGAGGAGGAGGAGGAGGAGGAGGAACTGGGGCAAACCAAGTCTGTGGTCGATCCCCTGTAACTCGACTGGCTCCCCGCCGCGAGGCCGTCAGCGCCGCTGGGGGCGGCCCGGCTCCTCGGGAGCGAGGGCCGGCGGGGGCTTCGACGGCGGGCCGGAGCTGCGCCGCCTCGGCAGCTCGGGCAGCGGGGCCTCGAAGGGCCCGGCGTGGAGCTCGGTGTAGAAGTCCTCCTGCACGCCAAGAGCTCTCTGGCGTTTCTAAACGTGCCCCTGGCCCGAGGCGCCCCCCGCTTTTCGCTCCATGTTTGAGCCCCTGGGGCCCTCTGGGCCTCGTTAAGGGGGGCTCTGGAGGCCCTCTCTGGGCCACCCCGAGAATCCTGGGGGCACCTCGGGCCAGGGGCACTTCTAGCAACACCCGAGAAATGGGTACGGAAGAAATGGGATCACTGCACAACACTAGATGTTGTCCAAAGCCCGCAGCGGCCACTGTTGGGCGGGCGGCCTTATGTCTGAAATGGAGGAGAACGGCCGCGGCGACGCCGACAGTGACCTCTGTTGGGAATGAACAAGGACCGCCGTGTGACTCTGTGAACGGTTTTTTACTCGGCATTTCGACATTTGGTCAATGGGGGGGAGGGAGGGTGGTGTCTGGCTTCGGAACTCTGCGTAATGCGACTGTTTGGAACAGTACGTCCTGTGGCGGAGGGACTCCACCTGCTCGAAAAGGGCGCCAAAAACAGCCAAGATCTACTCCATGCCGAGAGGGGAAAGGGGGGTGCGAGGGCCCACGCCGATCGGATACAACAGCTGTTGTTTTGTATACACTGTTTCCGTATCCATGTCTATCGCCCCGACAGAAGGCACCCGTGCCCCGCCGTGCCGGGCCAGGGCCCATGCCCCCGAACCCCTGGTGCCTCCAAGGGGCCCCGGGACGAGACGACGAGCAATAGCGCGAGCACGAGTTTTCGCAGGTCCGCGCAAATTTCTTGGAGCGGCGCTGTGCGCTGCACCCCCTCCCTGGAGCGCCAGGGGCAGGGCTCGACCTGAACGGTGTGTTGGCGGTTTCGGGGGCCGTTTTCGTTGCGATCTCAGATCTCGTTTCGCTGCGGAGGTGGATCGGAGACGGCACGAAGGAAACCGAAACCAGAGCGAACACGGACAGTACTGTGTTGGGTTTAAGTCGGGCGTGTCTCCCCACGGGGGGGATTTTTGGCGAAACATCAAAGATACAAGAAGCTGCCCCCCCAAATGGGCAGAAATATACCCACCAGAAAATCGTCCCCACAATATTTGTTTGACTACTTTTGAATTTCCCCCCTTAAAGCAAGTCTAAGATCGGGAAAAAATCGCTCCAAAGCGTTCCGGAGCGCTCTCAGAGCGTTCCAGAACGCTCTGGAGCGGCCGCGGCGCCCCATACATCCTCCAAACCCGCCGATTCTCAACGATTTCGAGCTGTCCCGATCCGATGTTGTCCCGATCCTCGCGTCGTCTTAGGCCCCCCCACCGGGGCTCGCCGCCGAAGGGAGGGGCCCCGGGCCGGCCGCCGTGCTGCGCAGGAGGCCACGCCGCCCTGCGGGCTCCTGGACCACCTCCTCCACGAACGCGGGCTCGCCCGGCAGGGCCTCCGGCCGCTGGGCGGGCGAGCGAGCCCTCGGCGACGCCGGCTCGGGGCCGCGCTGCTCCTGGCCCTCCTCGTCGCTCAGGCTCTGCCTGCGGACGGCCGAAGGGGGGCACGGAAACTGGACGAAGCCAGGACGAGGAGAAAACCGGGCGAGGATGGATCGGGGGTCTCTGAGATCCGCAGCGGCTCTGGAGGACGTCTCGGGCGCCGCGGCCTTCTCAGAGCGTTCCGGAACGGAGTTAGCCTCGTCCTAGCCCCGCCCGAGGAAGGAGTGGCCACGATGCCCAGCAGCAAGTGCTGCCCCAAACTGAGCGCGGCCGCTGTGTGGCAGGCGACCTCGAGTCTGAGATGGACAACGACCAGGGCGACGCCGACAGCAGGTCCCGTTCAGCATGAGCCAGAACTGTTGGACTTTGTACTCCAGATGTCGTAATAAAGGGAGGGGGGTCTCATTTCGGGGGGGGTCTCTTCCAGGCTGTCTTGGAGGGCCTGGGGGGTCTGGGGACGATGTTTTGGAGGGTTCTCCCACGGGGGAGGCCTGAAATGGCTCGTCTTGGAGGGTCCAGACCCCCTCCCTTTTGTTACGAAATCTGGAGTATCCACATGGCGAGCTCTGGAAACCCTGAGCGCCCAAAAGAATGCCACCTCCGCCGCCTTCCGCCGGCCGCCGCCGCGGCTTCCGCGGGCCCTCCGCCGGCCTCCGCCGGCGGAGCCGCCCCCCCGTTCTGCTTCCGCCGCCCTCCGCCGAGGAGGAGATGACAACTCCTTCTCGGGGACGGACAGACCCCCCTTTAGCAAAACGTGGTTTAGTGAAAACGACCTGATTGGGGGGCGGAAAGATACGGATACGTGTTGTCCCCAGACCTCTCTTGGGGTGCGTTCTGACCAGAATTTCGAGGCGAATCCAGCGGTGACAACGAGGATTCCCCGGGAGGGCCAGGAAAGGCCGAAAACGAAGGGGGACAACACGTATCCGTATCTTTTGCTCCCCCGACCTGAGGCCCAAACCTGGCGGGCGCAAGCCTTGAAAATAGCGGCCACGGCGCCCTCTCGAGAACCGAAAACGGACAATTCACTAATCGACGTGTCACTGTTGGGGGTTCTGTCCACGCCCGACCTTCGATCCTCGAGAACGAGGCCACGTCTGCAACGCCTCCTATCGGCTGCAAGCAGAAGTGGCCCTAGGCAAGAGTGACCTCTTGGTGCGCGGCGAAGGGCGCGCAGGGTGGCCAAATCCGAGCGCGCAGGCGGCTGCCATCGCTCCGCGCTCAGCGATCGGGCGGACCCCGATGACGCAGAAGCAGAAGCAGAAAGTCCTGGCATAGAATGGCCCGCGAGGGGCAGGACAAATAATATAATAATATGCTACGCGCGCGCGCCGCCCACTGTGCAAACTCAGAAGCGCGGCTCTCCCACTCTACCTTGTCCGCGGCTAGCCGCCGCCAGTCTCCCAGATCCATGTCTGTACAGAACCGCCTGAGCACATCTTCGAATTTCATGGCCGCACCAGAGGCCACTCTGGCGAAGGGACACTATTACGTGCAGTCGTGCAGCAGATTGGGCTCGGGCCCTCCCAGAGAAGAACAGAGCACAGCAACCACATGCCGATTCGTGAAGCAGGAAGGCGCTTGAAGCAAGCTGGGATCTAGGAGGATGAATCTCACACTACCTACTTCCGACGACCGTCTCCGCACCCCCTTTCGTAGAGGCCTCCTAGATGGGGTCCGAGTAGATGGGGTCGAAGGATCGCGCCGCATCGGCGATACATCGGCGATACATCGCCGATGCCTCGGCGATGCCTCGGCGACGTCGGCGATGCATCGGCGACGCCGGCGTGGGGAAACCCAGACACCACCTCGAGCCCCATCGCCGATGTGTCGGCGATGCGGAGCGACCCTTTCCGACCCACAGCTGCTCGGACCCCTGCCGAAGGACGCCTGGCTATTCTGGCCCCCCCTAAAACAGGGCTAGGATCGGGATAAATCGCTCCAGAGCGTTCTGGAGCGCTCTCAGAGCGTTCCGGAACGCTCTGGAGCGGCCGCGGCGCCCAGTACATCCTCCAAACCCGCCGATTCTCAGAGATTTCGAGCTAGCCCGATCCGATTGTGTCCCGATCCTCGCGTCGTTTGATTCTGGCCCCCCCCGACTGCCCGGCCCCTGGGAGCCACTGGCCCGGCGGCTCCCGCGGCGCCCCGCCGGAGGCCGGCCCCTCGGGCGCGGCCGCCGCGGGCTCGGGGGCCGCGACCAGCACCTGACGAACCAACAACACACACCCCAACCCAACCCGAAGACCCGAATTTGACCCGACTTTCGGGTTGGGGGGGGGGGTACGGGTTCCACATGTTTTGTCGATGTTCCCCGACCCCCCCCCCCCCACTTGAAATGGAGGGCAAATCGTGGCCTTCTGGTTGGGTTGGGGTGGTTTGGTGGGCGGTGAGCACCCGCGCGGGCGCGCCCGGGCCGCCCAGGTCCGCGGCGCGGCCGAGCGCCGCGCGGCTCGCGGGCAGCATCCAGGCGTCGCGCCCCGCCTCGCCGCAGGGGTCCTGCAGCGGTCGACCCAAACAAAGTGCGTCTCGTCCTCGCTTCGCTTTTTCGTTTCCCCTCGTCTTTCGGGGGCGGCAAAGAGGGGGGGGTCCAAGAGGGGGGGGTGCAAATCATGACCGGCGGCATGTGCGCGGCCCAGCGGGGGGGCCAGGGACGTAATGAAACAAGAAGGGGCACCAGGAAATCTGAGGAAAAATCATGGCCCGCGCCATGAAATCCACCCCCCCCTAGTCATCACCCCCCTCTTTTCCGCTCCCGAGTCTTGCCTTCGGTCCGCCTCCGTCGCGTAGACCGAGGCCGGAACGAGGAAACGGCCCACGGCATCGCCGACGCACCGTTTTTGGGTCGACGCCCAGGCCTGCAGCGGGTTGAGGAACTGGACGCGCAGGTTCACGAAGCCCAGCGGGGGCTCCTCGGGCCGCGGCTGCTCCCCGTGCTCCATAGCGTGCAGGGGGACCCTCAGAATGCGCGGCTCCTCGTGCTCGTTGCGGCTGCTCTTCACCCTGTCGAAGACGACGAGGCCCCGCCCGATGAACTCCGTCTCCTTGACGTCCTTCGCCCACACGCTCACGTACAGTGAGCTGCTCCTCTTGACGTCGAGGAGGAACGTCTCGTGGAAACTGCCAGAGGCGCCCGTGTTCCAAGACACGTCCGTCTGCAGCAGGCGCGGGTTCCCCGCGTCGCACTTGAGGAGCACCTGCGGGCTCTGCTCGCCGGTGGAGCTCACCACATGCAGCTGGTCGGCGTCCAGCACTTCGACCTTCAAACACCACTTCCGGTCCGAAATCCGCCACCGTGCCTCCTGGCACGCTGAGGCGCACTCCCATGACCGCAATCTGGCAAATTTTCTGTTTGCTGGCAGGGCTGGTTTTCCATACCTGCTTCTTTGAGCCCTCCCTCCCCCCCCATCGTCGTGTAGCTTTGTGCGTTTCCTTCGAGTGTAAGCGCCTCCAAGGCAATCTCCAGGGCCTCTGGGCTGCCCAAGATAGCTTCCGGGACGGCCCAGAAGGCCTCCAAGGCCGCGAAAGATGGACTAAGGAAAGCTCAAGATGGAACCAACCGTTTCCAAGAACCCCCAGCGGCGCATTGGCCCCAAGAGACAACCAATACACCCGAATAGTATGCCTCCCAGAGACCGTCCAAGCCCATGAGAGATGAAGCATCATGTGGCTGCACGGGGCCCAAAGGTGCACTCAAAAATCACGCCAGACGGCGTACCAAGAAGCCATAACGATGCCCCAAGACCGCGCACACCGCCTGAGACCGTCCCAACACCGCCCCGCGATGGGTCCACGGCGACGACCTGTCAGGGCGTTCCCAAGACGCCCACCAGATGACCGCAGGACTTTCCAAGATTGCCCCACGAGACCCACAGGAGGCGCGGCAATACCATCCGAAATGGACCGAGGAACTCTTTTACATATTCCCAGGGGAACCCCAGGATGCCCCCCGAAACCTTACAGCAAATTTACCCGTCAGAGAGGCACGGAGTGGCGTGCCAGAGGCCCCTGAGTTCTCCGTCTTCAGTCGTGAATGAACGATTGAATCCTTCCATTGGAAAAAATACTGAATGGTAAAAGACCCAGACCCCACATTCAAGAATTCCCGGGGCGTGGCGCGTGTAGTGGCGTGCTCTTCTGAGACTTCTTCGGAGCCAGAAGATTCCCAAGCAGGGCCAAGAAGGTCCCGAAAGGCCACCAAGGCTGTCCAAGAGGCCCCTGAGTCGCCGAAAGGTCGCTGCAAGACGACCAAGACGGCCTCCAGACGGCTCATGAGGCCCCCAAGACGCACCAATAGGTATAGAAGAGGCCCCCAAGCGGGCACCGAGGGACAACACTAATGGATTTCTCGTAGGTTCTGAACGATATTAGCATTCTCACCTTTCGGGCCTGCCATGCTCCAAGACAACCCAAAGGCTCCCCCAAGATCAAGCCCCAAGACGGTCCAAGAAGCTCCGAGGAGGGCCCCGAACTGCCCAGGAGGCCCCCAAACGGCCCAAGAAGCACCCAGCACGGCCCGAGCGGGCCACGAGAGAGGCCCCAGAAGGGGGGAACATGAACCGGCATTTCAAGCCCTCCTCCCAAAACCGGCATCCGAGACCGCCCCAAAGAGGCCCACATCAGGCCTCACCGCCTCCAAAAAAGGCTTCCGATGGGCCGACGTTCCCCTGGGGAAGCTTACTGTTTTATGTCTCGACCTTGAAGAATCCGGGGACGAGAAGCGTCGCACCTGAGTTATGGCTCTCTGGGCGCTTAGGGACACAAACATCACATCTTACAGCTGTTCAGGGCTGCGGGCGGACGCGGCACATGACACGGCCATCTGGAGCCTGAGGACGAGAAGTGTCGCATTGTACGGCCCCTTGGGTGTCAAGGTCCGCCACACAGTGTTCCGCGATGGCGGAGTTGGCCGCAGGCGCTCGAATAAACTTGACTCTCTGCGAGGTGCTCCTCCAAATAGTCTGAAGCTTGATGGCTGCCAAGGTCTCCCGCTGGATCGAGCGGCGCATGTGCAGAACATCCAGCCACCAGCGCTGGATTCGCCTAGAGCCGACGTCCTTCACCTTGCCGAAGAAAGACTCCTCAATGTTTCTCACGAGATGGCTGTACGTTGTGGTAGCGGTTACGGACTGCGCACCCAGTCCCCAATACTGACCCACATCTGTCACCAACGCATTCCAGAATACTCTGGTGAGGAAAATCCAAAGAGGTTCGACCAGCAGTAGTGACGAGAAGTGCATTGTGAGCGTCCACACGCCAAAGTGGTCCGCGGCCGCTTGCCCAAGATAAAGTGTGAAGAACACCAAATACAACACTACCGCTGCCAGGAACGACATCGCGGCAAACAGCATGCACCAAGACGTCTGCCCAGTGTAGAAAGAAAGATCGGCGACGGAGGGCCTGGTCGCCATCCACAGCGCCTTCACGGCTCGGTGCAGCACGTGCCTGCGCTGCTCTATCTTGTGAGTCTGCCGCTCGAGGCTATTGCGCCTGCAACATATCGAGTCCCATGTCGACCGCCTCGGCATGGTGGCGAACTTCCGCGTCCCCAGGGGGAATAGCGAGTTGCAGACGTGCTCCTGCGAGACGAAACTGGTCAGCCTGAACTGCCTCTGCAAGATCTGGAAGACTGGCAGCAGGGCTGCACCCGCTGCCACGGCCAGCGGACACGTGGCCATGCAGCCCGAGCCGCCCGAGGCACACTTGAACACCTCGTAGGTACCCTGGGGCTCCTCGTGCTCGCGCCGATTGAGGACCAGTGCCGCGGTGAGCATGCAGGCGTGCAAGTGCAGTACCACGAGGAATGACCGCTTCGGCCTGGGAAAAGTAGGGGCCACCCAGACAAGCAGAGAGAAGGCCAGGTGCTCCCTGGAGAGCGCGTCGCCGAACCCCTTCGCATATCTGAAGGCGTAGCCCCAGAAGTTCGTGGGGCGCGTATGGAGGACGACGTCCGCGTCGCTGCTCGGCTTCAGCGCCCTCGCGTCGAGGTAGTACTGATCCGCGATCTGGCTGGGCAGGGAGCTCTGCCGGATCAGAATGCGGCTGCAGCAAAACTGGACCGGCACCAGCACCTGTGGCGACGTCGAGCGGTCAGCCCGCCACCTCCAGTCGCGGACGTCGAGGTACAGCCCCACGGCCACCACGAGCCCACAGTAGGCGTAGATGCCGGCCAAGAGCCAAAACACCGCCTCGCTCCTCTCGAGCCTGCTGTGCGGAGGGCGCGAGAACACCCACGTGCCCACCTCGTCGAGCGTCGCCCCCGCCTCCTGGGCGCCCACGGCCGAGGACAGGAGCCGGCCCCTCGACACGCCGCCGCCGCCACCTGTGCAAGACCAAGGCACGACATCGGCGCAACCTCTCGGACGCCCGCGCGGATTCCTTGGGTCGGCGCTGGGCCCCCCATCCCCCCGCCCCCGGGCGCGCCGGAGAAGCGGTGCGGGGGGCGGGCGGGGCCCAACCCCGCCGACCCGAGAAGCCCCCGCGAAGCTCCATGCGGATCTGTGCCCACATGCCGCCGCTTGGCCCTCGATCGCCCGGCGGCCCACCGGCGGCCCCGCCAGCCGGGAGCCCGCCCAGCCGCAGCGCGCCCCGGCAGGCCACCAGCAGCGCGAGGGCGAGCCCCAGCGGCGCCGGTGACGCCCAGGCGGGCCCGCGCCAGAAGCCCGCCGCGGGGCCACGGGCACGAGGCGGCCGCGGCGCCGCCTGCCGGCGCCGCCCGGCGGCCCGGGGCGCGGCCGCCGGCTTGCGCGCCGGCTCGGGGCCCGCCGCCACGCGCTGCGCGCCGCAGCAGGCCGTCGCCATTGCGCGGCGGCCGCACGGCAACGGTGGTCCCCGCGGCCTGGAACGGCGGGCAGCGTGTATCTGCACTCCCCTGCCAGTTGCGCCCGGCCACCCGCCAATGGGGCGGCCGGCGGCGGGAGCGAGCAGGGATACCTCGGGATCTCGCCGAGCTTGCGGGTCCTGAGGATGTGTCGGGTGCCGCGGCCGATCCAGAGCGCCCCAGGACGCTCGGAGAGCATTCTAGAACGCTCTGGATGCAGAACGCATGCTGTTCCTGAGCCTGCCTGAGTCAAGGTCTGGACGGGCGGTCCGGAGCGTCAAATCGATACGAACGTTAACATGCGCCTTCGCAACACCAAGAACACTCATTTTGATACTGCTCGCTCTCTCTTGAGCGCGTTTCTCTGTTTTTGGCGATAGTGGGCGTTACATGGGGGGGGGCGTGAGGGGGTATAATGTAACGCCCCCCCCCGTCGTGTGTGGCTCCGGCACCACAGCCGCGCCCGCGCGCACGACGATGATGAGCGACGAGCGACGAGCGACGAGCGACGACGAAGACGACGCGAGCAGCATGTAGGTGGCGACCTGCCCACAACACCTGTGTACACCCTCAGTGCTCGCGTGCACCACAGCGCGCGTGTACACCACAGTGCCTGCGTACACCGCAACAGCCGTGTGCGACGCAGCGCCTGTGTACACCACAGTGCTTGCGTGCACCACAGCGCCGGTGTACACCACAGCGGATGCGTAACACCGCAGCGCTTGTGCACACCACAGCGTCTGTGTACACCACAATGCTCGCGTGCACCACAGCACGCGTGTACACCACAATGCCTGCGTACACCGCAACAGCCGTGTGCGACGCAGCGCCTGTGTACACCACAGTGCTTACGTGCACCACAGCGCCGGTGTACACGACAGCGGATGTGTAACACCGCAGCAACCACGTGCAACACAGCGCCTGTGTACACCAGAATGCTTGCGTGCACCGCAGCGCATGTGCACACCACAGCGCCTGTGTACACAACAGCATCCGCGTGCACGCAGCGCTGGTGTACACCACAGTGCCTGCGTGCTCAGGACAGGTAGAACGAGCATGTAGGTGAGGATCTGCTGCGAACAGCTAAACGCCACGCCAGAGACATGCCGATAATATAATGCGACGTTCTTACCTCCTCCCTTCTCCGCCTACTCCGCCTCCTCCTCCTCCTCCTCCTCCTACTCCTTATGCGGATCCTGATGATATTCCCAATGCGGAACAAGCTTCTATGCGGACTTTTGTGGACGCCGATGGAGATCCGGATGCGCACGGCGGCAGTGCCAAGAGCGCACTGGGGGGGATGGGCTTACGTTATAGAGGGGGGGCTGGGGGCTATAATGCCCATTATGCCCCAAGCAATGAAGAAACACGCTCCTTCTGCTCGTGTGTCAATCAACATATCTTCCAATCCCTCGACACCCGCCCTCTTCCTCTTCGATCGATCCCAGCGGGGAGATACATGCTTCCTGCCTGCCGCGTGCAGTTGGTGCAGCCCCAGAAGCAGGAAGAGGAGGGAGGCGGGAAAGGACGTATAGCGAGGAGGAACGCAACGAGGGAAGGGACAAACAGGCAGACAGGGCGGTCAGCTGGCCGGCCGCAGCGGAGCGGGCCCGTTGCGGCACTGTAGGCAACGCCTGGGCAGACGGAGCGAAAACGGCACATCACGGCGCCCCGGAAGTATTGCCCGTCGCGCCAGAGGGGAGGGCGAGGAGGAACAGGGAGAAGGGTTGGATGAGGCAAGGAGCGATGGGGGGAGGGAGAGGCATGGGGCACGAGGGAGATTGGGCGGGAGGTGGGGTACGAGCAGGAGGGCAAGCGACAGAAACCGGAAGGGCGCGGCAGGCGGGCAGATCCCAGCGGGCGGTTTGGGCGGGCGGACCCAGACGGGCGGGTCGCCGAGGCGTAGGTCCTGCATGCATCGCGAGCGGCCTCCAGCGATCGCGCGATGCCCATGCACGTCGTGAAGAAGTCCAGAGCGAGAGCGCGATTCTCGAGTGTTGAGGGCGCGGCATCGGGTCGCTGAAGCGTCCGTCCTGCATGCATCGCGAGAAAGTCTCTAGCAACAGCGACATTTCCACTACGTTGTAAAGAACTTCAAGGCGAGAGCACGATTCCTGACCGTCGAGGGCGCGGCATCTGAATACATTGAGAGAAGATCCCGAGAGTTTGGGTCTCAGCCCAGCAAGCTCTTTCTCAAAGTGCACGCTCCTCGCAGGCCGACTCGCGCGAAAAAGGCAACGGGGACGCGCGAGAGCACGCGAGATGCTGCCCTCGCCCAAGCGCTGCGCAGCGCGCGCGTGAAAGTGGCAGAGCTGTTTCGGAACCGCGCATGCTTCGTCCTCGCCGAGCTCATTGGCAACTTGGCCGCCCGAAGGAAGGTCACACCGTGCCGTCGCAACAGCATTGCGCAACTATTTGCTGAAGTTCTGCTCCCGCCCAGGTGGGAATGGGCATGGCCCGCCGATCTGCTCGACGTGGCCAACTCGATTCCGCATCCGGCTCCCATTCCCATGGTGCAAGATGCCTCCACTCTGCCACCTTGCCATCCGATGATGACCCAATGCTGAGGGTGCCCGTCCCGCCCACCGCCCATCACGAAGCAATGCGGCAGCGACGACCCGTTTCTCGACGTGAGCGCTCTGGTGCCGACCATGCAGAAGACGCGGCCGGAACGGGACGCGACATCGCGCGCGCGCGAACGAAATGCCGCTCGCGCTGCGGCGCCGCACGCAGATCGTTGGGCTCCTGCTTGGGCGCGGTGCCCACTCCTCGCTCGCCAAGTTGTCACCTGCGGGGCCGCGCCGGAGCGGGCGAAACGCCGTCACCACCCAGGTGCCGTGCAGATGTTTGCTCGTCTGAAGCTGGCGCTATAACGCTTCGGCGCGGCGCCCATTTTTTCGCCCGACGATCCGTCCGCCGCGGGGCTGCGCGCGAGAGGGCGAAGCGCCGCTGTCGTCCGCGCGCCGCGCAGACTTCCTCTGCCAGCCGCGCCCTGGGCGCGGCGCACACCTGTGGCGTCCAGAGCCCAGACCGCGGAGCGACAGGAGCTTCTGGAGGGTCCTTCGAAGGAGATCTGGAAGATCTGGAAAGGAGCCTCTGGAAAGCTTGACGGCACAGGCATGGGAAGACAGATAGAAAAGCCCCGGGAAGGACAGGCCGCGACCTCGCACGAGCTCTTCCGGGGGTGCCTGCCGGAAGCCGCAACGAGCCCCGAGGCTCTCCTGCGGTGCCCGCTTCTAATCTCAAATCCTTGTAGCCACCAGAGGGCTATCCGGGAATTTCCCGGTCGCCGCTTGCGAAGGCGTCGAAGGCGGGGCCGCGCGCGAACGGGCGACATAGATACGTCGATCTCGCCCCACCGCGGCGGGGATTTTGCCGGAACGTGGCACTCCCGCTGCGACGCGGCCAATGTTCTGCGCTCGCCAAACCTATCGGGAACTCAACCGCGCGCGAGGAGGGCAGGGTGGCGCTCTTGCCCCGAGACGCCGCGAGGGGATTCTCCAAGGTGCCCGATCCGACCCCGCATGCGCGTGACCCGCGACACCCGCAGAGGAATCCGACAAACAACTACCTCAAAAAGGACAAGCTTCGCCCGCTCGCCCCGTGACGTGCGTCAAACTCGACACCGACCGCACGGCAGAGCGTGCGACGCCAGCACCGGCGAGCAGCATGGCACGCCGGCGGGCGCGGACGCCAAGATGAGACGCAGGCAACGTCGCGCCCCCCGCCCCGCGGCGAGTCCAAGAGAGGATGGCCACGGGAGGAGCGGGCATCGACATTGAACATGCTGGCGCTTCGTCTCTGCGGGTCGTGGCGCGGGTGCTTTTCGGTCGCAAGGGGGGGCGCGCGCCAGTCCTTCATGTCCAGGTGTGGCAGCGGGGATCCTTCTGTTACGGGACGGGGGGTGATGGGGGGCGGGAGAGATCCCGCTGGAAGGCTGGCTTGACTGCTAGTCCTCCCCTTGCTCCCACTACTCCACCTTCTACTCGTCACGTCCTCCGCCGGCGCTTCTGGGGTGTAGCCTTTGCAACCACCCCCTCCTGGCAGCACCTACGTTGGAATCTCTATTATTCCTCCTCCTCCTCGTCCTCATCCTCCCTCTTCTGGAGGAGAGAGGGGGCGGAAGGATGAAGTGAGCAGAACAGAGGATGGAGGGACTGGCGGCATGGAGCATGGATCGACGTCTTCGATTGGCTTGCTCAAGTGGACTGTGCCAGGGAGAGAGGGGAGTAGGTGGCAACGGCGATCGGCAGGAGGGAGGGTGTACGGGCAAAGAGGGGAGGCGGCAAGGTGGGGGAGGAGAAGCAGGAGGGAGAGAAGGATGGAGGAGGAGAGAGAGAGGCAGAGCGGGGGAAAGCGGGGTGGGGAGCCACGGAACCGACGGGGAGTGCGCAAAGAGGTAAAGAGACTTGGAGCCATCGCGCCCGCCATCACAGCACCAGCACCAAGAGTCCGCGGGCGTCGCGGGCCCGCTGCGCTCTACGAGCGCGGGGCGCGCGTGAGCGTCCTGGGAGATTAGAAAAGGGGAGCCTCGCGAGGTGACTGCAGGTCGAAGGGGCGTAAAAGGCGGGATCGGGGCAGAGGTGCCCCCAGCCAAAGAAAAACGTGATCATCCGGCTGGGTCTGTTCCCCAATCCTGGGACGAGGCCAAGACGGGAATAACATTCTGTGAGGATAACCGACTGTCCCTGTAATCGCAGGGTGGGGGCAATGGAATTCGGGGATCCTGATGGACCATACACTTATCCCGGCAATTCGCATGTACGGATGTACGGTGTACCGAGTACGTGGTTAAGAAGGTACACGGGATGGTAGTACTGATACGAGTAGTAACACTGACAGCAAGAGTAATAGCAGTGGTACTAGTAGTAGTAGTAGTAGTAGTAGTAGTAGTAGTAGTAGTAGTAGTAGTAGTAGTAGTACGTACGTAGTACGTAGTACGTTGTACGTAAGTGTAGTAGTAGTAGTAATAGTAGTAGTA